AATGTCACTTCAAAAAAGGCAACAGCAAGTACTCTGCATAAAAGAGCTGATGACAAAAAATGGAGAAGCTATCAGTAAAAATGGGTGCTTTGATGAACTTCAAAGACTCTTTTGAATCTGAAATGGAGAGAAGAAAAAAAGGCGGTAAAGACTCGGTTTCTAACCTTCCAAATGAACATATAACATGAAGTTATTTCGGTTTTGCTACTCAGATCAACAGACTTTGCTCGAGTCCACAAGGTTGTTGCGAGTATAACATGACCCACAACCTTAAAATCAAACAGAAACCGAACAAAACATGAAAACCTTTTATCACTCAAACGATGAATTAGCGCAGTTTTGATGGGTATAGAAAGATTGTTACCGAGATGACTTTGCTCCATATGAAAGGAGACGTTGCACCAACCAGAATCGCAACAGTGTAAGCCATTTGAAGTAGTGAAACACATGCCCAAAACACCTGAGTTTTGCAAGAGAAAGAAATTTTCTTCTTTTTCTGTAACCTTAATTCGGAAACAGAGCCAAACAAATTCTTTAGTTTCGATAATTTACCCGTTTCTGACCAAGAGTTACAGAGAATGATCGGATTCCGAAAATCTTATCCCCTTCGATATCCGGTATATCCTGCATCAAATCAATATAGAAAAGTTCTCAACCATAAGAATGATTTACTTGAGTATACATAGAGTTAACTTTTTCCATCTTTGTTTACCTTAAACAATGCGATGACAACAGAGAAAAAGCTCATAAACGCAGTGGCGAAAATAAGAGGCCTTGTGAACAAGACTGGCCTTCCAAACACATGGGTCTGCGACAAAGTTTCACAGCTTTTGGTGACAAAAAAAGTGATATTAATGGATAACTTTTCAAACCACAAGGAAAATGGTCAAGTACCTGAATGTGGAGATAAAAGGCGATTTGAACAATAATAGCTCGGACAGCGAGGATACACATTGCTGCAACCAATGCAAATCTTTTCCACCTTAAAAGTGGCAACTGTTTGTCATAGGAAAAGTTAATAAAGCCTCACTAACCCGAACTAGAAACCGAGATTTTGATCTGAGTGAAACCCTAGTGGTGAAGAACTTACTTACATTGATAGAATATGCAGTTCCCAGCATGAAACTCACAAAAAGAGCCCAAAACAACGGCCACGAACCAACAATCCACCCGAGCCAGAAACTCTAAGGTGTTTTTAACAATAAATTATATTACTTGTGTATATGTAGACATCTAAAAGTAAGAAGTTTGTGAAAATGGCAACATACCATGACAGAGAAGGAAACTACTATCGCAATGCCGGTTTGAACAGAATATTCCCCTGATGCTAACGGAAGATATGGCTTGTTAACCTGCAAAAACCCATTCAGAGTATGATCTAGGCACTAGCAAAGATTTCTTATCGAAATCATATAAAGAACACGCACATATATTACCTTATCTATTTCAACATCAGACAACTGATTCAGCCCGACTATGTATATGTTCATCATGAGGGCTGCAACAACAGCCTAACAACAAAACCTAATTTGTTCATATAGATAAAAGAGATTGCAAATGCGTGCGTATATTTGTTCAATCATATATCATTAACCTCTAAGATGCCGGTGAAAAGTAATGGCGATATATCAGAAATCTTCTCTACTGCTAAGAAAGATACAGATAAAATGCTAAGCACCTGAAAAACAAATCGAACCACAGAGCTAATGTTATCTTCTTGTACCCTGAAAGATTTTTCGGTTAAAAGAGAAACATTTCTTAAGAGAAACTTAACTGTGCCAATAACGGTATGAGGCCTTGAAAACCTATAAAACGCATCTACAGAGTCTTTAAAAGAGTTCCTTTTGCTCTTCGGATCGAAAGCCTCGGGCTGACCCGTAGTGGCATTTACCCGAAATCTCGACTTATGTTTCGGATACAACAACAATGAAGAAGATTCTTGACCATCAAGCCTAACAAGATTGTTCCTAAACTTCGGTTTCGCAAGAACTTTACTTGGATTACAACGCAGAACCCTGATTCCTGCAAATTGAGTACAGTGTGCAAAGAGCTA